TTTCTTTAAGACCCAAGAGATCTCTGACCAGGTTTTAAGTACTGGGCTATTAGTGTGTATCCTTTTAAGTGCCTGGTCCACTCCATTCCCCCTTGGAAAAAAAAAAAAAAAAACATGAAAAGGTATGGCACAATAAATGTGCTTGCATTTGAATAATGCATCCACAGAGAAGAAAGAGGAAAAAAGAAAAAGTCGTTGCAAAGAATAAGGCTGATAGCTGATAGAAGTCTAGATATATAGTAATCGTCAAAAAACTTCTGGGCTGAGCTTCTCTCCTCCATAATGAATGCCTATCCCAAGCCAAGCTCAACTGAGGACATGAGAGACACTTACAAGGTCATATTAGCACATAGGGAGGGAAAGGCAGGCAGATAAGGTCTGTTGAAAACTATCTTCTATGAAAAGCAATTAAGAGAGTGACCTTATATCAACTCTGACCTCCACATGCTCGTGTCCACACAAGGAACACAGTCTCTTCTAAAGCAGGCATAATGTAATCCCAGGGCTCAGGAGGGTGAAGCAGGAGGATTGAGAATTCAAGGCCAGCCTAGGCAACAGAGTGAGTTTGACACTAGTCTAGGTTATACAGTAAGACCTTGTCTCAAAAAGACAAACCCTCTCAACATCCATCTCAGCATTTTCTACGAGGTGCAGTCACTGGGATCCAATGTTGCTAGGCTCAAGTTTCCCATAAAATTCTAGGCATCATATATTTGTATGGTGCCTTAGGATTTAAAAGCACTGCCATAAATACTTTATTTGACTTTTGAAGCCAGAGTGTGATGAAGGCAAGCAGTTGTCCTTCCATCTTTCTGTCGCCTCTGGTGGCATGCCCCAAGTCATGGAACTAATAGGATATGCAGAGCGCAGAAGCTGGTGCCTGCTCCACAGCAGAGGCTCATGCACTCAAGCATGCACTCACTCACTCACTCACCCATTCACCCATTTGTTTAGTTAACCAGTGAGGCCCTAGACATGAATGACTACAGGCCTTTAACAAACCCCCGGTCTATGAGGAGGCAGAAAGGAAAACCCCACAGGCATGATAATAAAAACCCGACAAGTACAGCTAAGAGATGAGAGCACGCTCCCCAGAGGAGGCTAATTCTTAAACCTGGGTTTTGACGGAGAAAGGAATAGCTAGGGGTTGAGGAAAGTGCTTGTCACACAAGCATGAGTCCAGTTCCCGAGCACCCCAAAAAAACTCATGGGCATGGCTGCCTGAAGCCCCTGTGCTGGGGATGAGAAGGAAACAGCAGGATCCCTAGGGCTTAGCACCCAGCTAGTCTTATTGATTCAGTGAGCTTCAGGTTCAGTGAGAGAATCTGTCTCAAAGAATAAGGAGGAAACAGTAGAGGAAGACAGCTGGCCTCAACCCCTGGGTCTCTACACCCACACACACGCATGTATACACATAAGACACACACACACACACACACACACACAAAACACGAAATGGTTAGGCCCAGAAAAGCAAGTGTGGGGCATCTAATTTTGTTCAAATAGAAAAGTGCCTGAGTCCTGTCCCATGACCTCAGATTAGAGAGTATGAGGCCAGCAACCTTAACCTTGAATGCCTGACCTTGTGGGCCAAGCTGAGGATAGTCAATGTGCTCCTGTGAAGAAACATGATAACCTCCAAATAGCTTTCTGGGCTTAGCTCACCTCACAGGCAATAGAGCATCCTGGTGGTAAGTGATGTCTTGAAGCAGGTGTGTGACTCAAGGCCGGGCCTACAGGAGGAAACTGTTTGCAGTAGCCTGTGTACGTGTACACACATTTTCATACACCCACATGGATGGAGCTTCTATTCATAATACTGTGTGTAATATCTACATCCACAGAGATTGTAGAAAGCATGCGGAGACTCCAGAAATCTTTCAAACAGAGGCATCTGAATAATGCAGGTGTCTGGACCGACCCTTGGGACATATTCAGATGGAGACGGGTTACTGAGAGAGGTCTGTCCTACATGATTTGGACATCTTGCCTGCAAAGGAGGTACTAAAAGGAGGCTGGACATGATAAATTCCAAGGGTACCTGGTAGCTCTGTGTTCGTTTGCATTTATAAGCTTACAGATTCTAGCAGTTTCCCCACTCATAAGAAATGAAATTCCATGAACCTGATCAAATGATTTCTCTTGCCCATTTTTATTTTTATTGTGCTCAGGCAGAAAATGTTTCATTGATTTACTTTTCAGCCATAGACAACGTGGATTAGAGCAAAGACTGAGGATGGGGGGGACAGTAGCTTCTTCCCTCCAGTCCCTCTTCTCTTCCCCTGGAGCTGTGTGACCTTGGACAACAGACTTTGCCTGTCTGGACTTCACTTCTCCCATATGTTACAGGAGAGGAGTGGTTGAGTGTGCTACAATTCTCTTCTAGCTCCATGACTACGAAACCATCTCCCCACCCCACACCCAAGATTTAGTTTATTCTTGTACACTCTACAATGAGGACTCAATAAATTGAATTCTGATGATCTATGTTGTAACCAAAGATCCTGCCTCATTTCACTTTTTAAAAACCCACCCAAATCTTGCTTGATTTAAGTGATGGGGACTGTAGCTGACTACCCGGGATTTGAATTGTACATTGTTCCTATTTGGGGACTGTTTAGACTGAGTCCAGTCTGGGATCACTGGCTGAGAACAATAAACCCCCAAGGTGAGGAGACATACCTCTCCAGACACAGATCTGCTTTTAAAGTATGGACCCCAGGGTTTACAAAAAGAGCATTGATTGTTTATATTAAAGAGCCAAGGAAACAGCAGGGGCTGACAGGGCTGAGCCACTGACCTTGCCAGCATTTCAGGGGTCAGGCATTCCCCAGGAGGTACTCAGCAGGCAGACTTTGCTGAGAGCTTAAAAACCCACCTCTCCAAATCCGGGGAGGCAGCCACCGTCTACACTTTGATTGGGGAAGACCACCTACAAGCCCTTGGAGACAATCTGACCTGTGCATCTCACCCACCACATGCCTGCCTGTGATCCCAGGCCTGCTGGGTGCAACTGTCTGCCCATCTGCATATAAGCCTTCCAGCCAGCAACTCCCCAGTCACAGAGGATAGCTGTTGCCCTTTGTACACCTCCGTGCAGGCAGAGAATTCATTGAGCTTCTTGGGCCTCCGTGAATTATGCAAAGATATCCAAGACACAGATTGCTCCAGCACAGGTCTCCCCAAGGGTGACCCAGGTAGCCCTGAATCCTTCAGCCTCTGTTCTCCGTGTCTCTGAAAAACCTTGCCCACAGGAGGCAAGTCCCTGTCTCAACTTAAAAATCACATCAGGGAGAATGATGAGATTCCAGCTCAGCGCGATCTCCAGCCTGGCCCATTGTTCAGGTCCCTACCTCTTAACCACTCCTCCTTCTCCAAGTCTGGGCCATCCATCCACCTGATTAATCCGCCCGCTGCAACTCCCAGGCAGAAGTGGAGCGAAAGAGCACAGGGTGGGTAAAGAGGAAGACACACACGGCCTGGTCCCAGGCACCCACTCTGCTCCCATCCCCCACCCCAGCTGCCCGCTGGTTCTGGATATGGCCTTTGGGCACCAGGGAGACAGACAGCTTACTGTAATCATACATGAATGAGCTTTGGCTCCCCTACTACCACAACAGCCCATTTCAAAAGGCACCCTGGCGCTTCTCAACCCAAGCTGAACCAAAAGATTTAGGGGAAGGAGCAAGGATCAGAAAAAGAGGGAGGGAAAGAACAGTATCACTTTGATCAAAAGAAGCAGCTCCTTAAAATATCTGTACAGAAGAGGCTACCCCAGGAAAAGTGTTAAAGACGCAGGTAAACAGCCCCAAGATTCAGCACCAGTCTAACAGTGTATTATTCCTCAGGAGGGCGAGTGAACTTCCACCCTTCAAGTATATATATATATTTGCTATTTATTTTATTTTTAGTTCAGGAGAGGAAGAAGCCGGTCCTACTGAGATTGGTGTCCAATCTTTCTCAGATTCCCGCGGTTGCCACCGCCACCGCCACCACCCCTCAGCCCCTTCCTGGCAAGGCAGCATCTAATTAACATGGCAAGAGCGCTCTGCCCCCTTCCCCTAAGGAGTGTGCTGGGATTGGGGATGGGGGTTGGGGGAAGCATCAAGGCTACAGTGGGATTCCTGGTAGTATGATCTCCAAACAACAGCAAAATGGATTCTAGACCGCTAGTGTCTTAGTCAATACAAAGAAACAGCCTCTGGGGCATTTGGGGAGAAGGTAAAGGCAAGGCTGGGGGAAGGGCATATGCTTTACAAAGGATTGGTCCAGACTCCGGGAAAACACAGTTCTCTCTCTCCAGGGAGTTCCGGTGTGATCCGGAGAAGCTGCAAACGCGTTCTTTCACCTGCTGAAGTTCAGCCATAAAACAGAAAGGTCACTGCCACCGAGTCAGGAAGGCACAGGTAGGGCTGAGTTCAAACTACAGGTTTGGCACCCTGGCATCTAGGGGAGAGCTCAGAGCCCCGGCGTGGGAGGCAGAACCCGGGGAGGGGGCGCAGTTGCCACCCACAAGACCCGCATGCAGTAGCTGCCCCCTCGGAGCGGCGGGTTCTGCTGGCGGGGACAGCCAGGCTCGCGATGTCATCTTGCAGGTAGCTGGGAAACGTGAGGGGCCGGTGCCTTTATGCACGCGGTGATTCTTTTTGCAGCAGGGGACAGTCCGGAGCCGAGGGAGGAGACGGTTGCCCGGGGTCCTGTACACACACACACACACACACACACACGGGGTCTTGTACACACACATGCACACACCCCAGCCTTTCATTTAAATCTTACACGGATCGAAGATATAGCTTGACATCAGCCCCACGAGCTTCCTGGCGGAGCCGCCTCGGCCCCAGCCCAAGGCGCACACGAGCAGCCCAGCCCCTGCGGTAGGGGTAGAGGCTCCGCCAGGAGCAGCAGGGTTGTCCTCGAATCAGAACACTAAGGCTGGGAACGTTCCCTCGCCCAGACCCAGGCTAATGGCTAGTAACCAGCAAACACGTTCAGCTCACCCTCAGGGCCGAGAGATCGATTTCATCCAGGCTGCGAGCCGGGGAGTCGCTCGCCATGTCGACTTCTTGGCGGAAGAAATGGACCAAAAGCACCCCGAAGCGTCTCCAGGGGCAAGTCCACCTTGGTCTATTTCGCTCGCGTCCTCATGCGGCTGTCCACCAGAGAGGCCCGGGGCCCAGCCTCCCCCGCCCACCCGGGCCCCAACCACCGTGCGATCCCGATCTTCCGTGAGCGTCCGATCCGCGGGATCCGGGGAGCCCAACCTGCGCGGATCTCCAAGCCGGGAGCCGCGGGTGCGTGTGGGCTGCGCGCCCGGATCGGCTAAGGGCGCTGGGGCTGCGTGGGTGTATTTAAATGGGACATGCTTCTTTGCTTGTGCGTGGATGGCGGCTGCATTGGCTGTTATAATGAGACATATCAACTCCTCCACTCAGCTGGGGGGTGGGGGTGGAGAACCACACAGAACTGTCTATCACCGCTTCCTGGGAGGAGTAAGGCGGGGGGTGGGGGGAGGCGTGGTCTGAGACTGGGGAGAGGCCTCGCTTCCTGACCCGGTCCCTCTGCACCAGCCTGGGTGGGGGAGGGGCGCGCACCCTTGGCGTCCCAGCTTTTGCAGGTTAATCGTGCTGCATCTCCAGAGTTAATCTTTGAATCCCGAGGTGCTTGCAGATCCCAGGGACCGGAGATCTATTTTTCACTGTGTCCCATTTGTGCAGTGCACCAAAATGGCCCTTCCATAGCATCTTGGGGTTTCTTGCTGGGTTCAAATGCGCTCCTGGTGAAAGGGAGCGGGGGAGGCAGAAGAAAAAGAGAGCCGAGTCCTCCCTCCTCCCCCCATTAATTATTTTGGGGGCTGGAGTAAAGGCGGGCTGGTGCAACCGGTGCATATAAGGACTTGTGTGCAGGGAAGGGGATCCGCCTCCCCGCGCCGAGCGAGTTGGGGAGAAGCGCACACGCGCGCGCACAGCCTGGCTTTGGCGATGGGCAGTGGCTACAGGGTCGCTGTCACTCACGGTCCCTGGGATACGGGATGGCGGGCCGGGGTCATCTGTGGTTCTCCCGGCTGGGAAGGTTTGGCCGAGGAGAGAAAGCTGGGAGATCAGAGCTCCCAGTTGACATCGCCACGCCCAGGACCAGCTCGTGCCGCAATTCCCCACGGAAATGCCCGAATTGAAACTCGAAGCTTGTTCCCAGGGTGCCGTAGCTAATAGGCTTCAGGTGACTCCCAAACCCACACTGGACCAAGCAACACACGACCACCGAACCCACCGTGTGAAAATCAGGCGGCTTTTCCGCGCTGACCAGGTTGGATGGAGAAAGTTAGGCTCCCCGAGGGTGAGACGTGATGTGAAAGATGTGACCCATTGGAGCGATTTCACTTCTCCCGCTTTCTCATTAAAAGCTGGACGTTTACATCAGTGACAGGACTTTCTGTCATCTACAGAATGAAGTCACTTCCCCAACCTCCGCTCAACCCTTCCTCTCCCAGCTTGGCCACGCGAATAACATCGGAAAAAAAGCTAATACTGAAATCACCCCACTCCCCCCAATTCATAAGTAGCTCAAAAAGCTTTTTTTCCCTATGTTAAGACAGGAGGCCACGTGATTGGGAATTGGGGGTTTTGCTTTGCTTTTTTGCTTTGTTTTGGGGGTAAGAGGGATTTGTTTGTTTTTGGATGGCTTGCTTTGGTTATGAGACAGACTCGTGTATTTCAGGTTGGCTTGAAATTCCCTGTGTAGCTGAGGATGGCCTTGAACTTATCCTCCTGCATCAACCTCCCAAGTGCTGGATTACAAGTGTGTACTCCCCCCAAAAAAAGGAAGGTGGAGCCCATGTCCTAGGGGACAGACACGGAGGCTGACCTCTGACTTCCACGTGGCCATATAAACACCGGCACACACCGCACACACATCCTACAACGTCAGCAGTGTGGTGAAGCACATCAGCATATCTGCACTCCTTCATTTACTTTATCCTGAAGCTCACGTTTACACTTGATGACCCCCTGGTTTTCATTTCTCCCTTAATGACTTCTTTTCCTATTCTCATCCTTCAACTAGACAACAGTTAATATGAAATTGTCTGAATGTGAAAGAAAATAGTTTCAGGTCAGGTACTGAGACCCATAAGCAGAACTATTTTTAAAACTTCAAACATGGAAATATGAGATAAACATTTTTCCCATGAAGAACATTCATCTTATGCCCCAGACTTTTTTTGAAATATCACAAAAAGATATTTTCCTGACTTTAGTAACTGCTCAGACCGTGATCCTGGAAAGTCCATTCTTGGGTTTAGAATTAGAGAACTATGTCTGCTGTACCTGGATATGGGAAGTCCTTTCTCAGAGCTGGGGAGGACTGCCAGAAAGCCAGGCCCAGGCAGGGGTGCTCACTACAGGAAATACCTAAAAGGAAGGATCAGCATAGCAAACTGCACCCTGGGAGGAAAGGAAGGTGAGGGGGTGGAAACAGAAGCGTTTGTACAGCTGGAGGGGAAGGGTGGTGACTCTTGGGACAGGGAAAGAAAGCACAGGTCAGATCTGGCAGAACTTTCACTGCCCCATTTAGCAACTCAAACTTGATTCCTTAGGCCAAGTGTGTATCAAACTTCAGCTCTTCAAGTAGGAACTTTCTGATTTCTTGCTGTGTTTCTATACCACCTATTCTCTTAGTACTTAATATTTTTCATTCAATCACTTTTTCCTTATGTTTAAAAGAAAACATAAGTCACTACTGTAAAGGAAATCTAGAAATAACTGCTTTTATAAAAAGGAAACCATTTAAATAAATATAATGGAAACCAAAGTTATACTGTTGCATTCAGATTGGCTGTTGCCACCCCCAGGCTTTCTAGGGGAAGACCTGCTCTTGGTTTCCTAAAAGAGAGAATAAATAGCCTTGGTAAATCCAAGGTCCTCGCCTTCACAGAGGCAAACAGTAAGCTTGGAAATAAGCAACCAACAACTAAGATTCTTTTAGAAACACAGTGATAATTGACGTGAAGAAAAGAGAGAGCAGCAAATTCAGAAAAGGCATTCAGGATTTGAGCAAGGTGAGATTTTGCTTCTGGAATAATCTGAAGGATTGAGGGAACAGAGACCATTCACAGCAGCTCAGAAGCCTAGAAAATGATCTCATCTGCTGCTGTTCATCTCTGAGGTAAATATGCAGTAACTACAGAGAGCCTGGCAGGAAGTACACAGATCAACTTCCACCAGTGAGAGGGAAGAAGAGGAAACGTGGGAAGGCCAAGAAGCACAGCGAAGCCTTTATGTTTGGTTCTGTTTTGTTTATAAGATCTGAGTCAAATATTGCCAAATGCTCAGAATGGTTAAATATGGGTGGTTAGTTAGGAGTGTTCATTATATTGTTCTTTGTATGCTTGGATATTTGAAACATGTTTGTATCTTAAAAGTATTTATAAAACAGAATCTAAAGGAGCTTATCTTGTTATGGTCAATGCTATTTAACAACTAATCTACATAACAATTCACATCACAAAGTGGAAATCAGAAATAAACCAAGTAGGGCTTCAAAAAGCATACTCTATATAAGCTGTCATCATATATCTATAGACATAACAGAAAAAAAATAGAATTTTGGAGACATTCTCATGTAGCCCAGGCTGGTCTCTAGCTCACTATGTAGCTAAGGACAGCCTTGAACTCTTGATCCTCCCAAGTGCTGAGTCGCCATGCCTGGCTCAGAAAAATATTTTTAAACATTCATCAAGCGTCTAGAAAACAAGGAGCATCAAGTGACTCACCGGTCTAGAACACTGTCTAGGTGATCTAAGACAGGCAGGACTGGGTTGCCAGCGAGACCTCAAACCCAAACCATGTGCAGTGAGGTTGGCAGAAGATTTGGGCAGACTCAAACTACATGAGCAGGCACATTTCTCATGGTGTGTAATCAAGGGAAAGCATTGATTTATTGATTCATTCAATATAGATAATTCTGTATAAAATCAATACTAGGACCTGGAGATAAAGCTTTGCTAACACAAAGCCCTCATCTTCACAGATGAGCACAGTAAGACTCAAAATTAACAATCAACAACTAAGGTTATTTTAGATGCATAGTGATAATTGATATGAAGAAATGTAATCAGGGTTAGGACACTCATCCATGGACATGCTCTCTCCCAGCCCTAAAGTATAATCTGAGTATGGGTGCTGGGGCCAGTGACACAGGACAACACCTGGGAGCTGATCACCAATCACTGAAAAAAGTAGAACCACACACACACACGCACACACATACACACAAACATACACATATCACACACAAACATACATCACACACATCACATACACATATACACACATACACAAATATACACACATCACACATACACAAACATATACAAAAATACATATATCACACATATACAAATACATATACACACAATCATGCACACATATACAAACATACCCTCACAAACATACATGCATACACAAACACATACCCATATCACACATACACACACATATATACATACACATACACACAAAAACATACACATATGCTTATATGCGTGCATGAAATGCTCAATAAATAATTTTTTTAAAGAGTGAGGTGGAGTGGCTGGAGAGATGGCTCAGCAGTTAAGAGCACCAGCTGCTCTTGTGAGGACCTGGGTTCAGACCTCTGCACCCAAATGGCAGCTAACAACAGTCCTTAACTCCACCATCAGGGGATCCAGTGCCCTCTTCTGGCCTCTGCCAGCATGGCACACACAGGTGCACTTACACACATGCAGGCAAAACACTAATACACACAAAATAAAAATAAATAAATATTAAAAATAAGGTAGAGAGTGATTGAGAAATACATCCAGTGTCAACCTCTGACCTTCACGTATGTATGCATATACACATGAAACACACATGCACACGTACAGAAACACACACATATGCAGACAATTTCTAAAATAATATATTTATTGAAATAAAAATTGATAAGTCAAGAAATAGTTATTGTAATTATGTAAATTGATATAATCATTTTAGCAACGATATAATAAGTTATACGGCTTCTTCTAAGCATTTGCTAAGGCCTGGATATTTGCAAGGCCTCCAATATTCAAATGTTGAAGAATAGTCTCAACAGTGATGAAGAGGCAGTATTCTTGGGAGGTGAACAAAACACGAGGCCAGGTGAAAACACAAAAGGCATTATCTCAGGAATAGCTTCTCACCAAACTTAAGCCTTGGTCCCTTGACCTTGGACTTTCTAGCTTCTAAAATCATAAGGAATAAACTTCTGTTGTTTATAAATGACCTAGTCTAAGGTATTTTGTTTTAGCAGTCCAAATAGACCAAGAAAACATTTGTGTATTTACACATTTACTTTTTATAACCTAACAAAGTAGCCAATACTATTAGCATATTTTTCTTATACGAGTGTTTCACTGAAGAACGGAAGGACCTAACAGTGAGAACAACACAGCAAGAAATGGCTGAGCCAGGATTTGAAGACAAGCT